AGACAGACAGGGTCCCTAGGGAAAGTGTCTCCCAGCATGGATGTCACGTACATTATATAGATCCTCCTTTCTGCAACCTGGAAATCAGGAACTCGGTTCAGGAACTACTTTCTGTTGGTATTTCCACTGTCCCAGTTAATTAATACACGACACAGCATAAACTACATCTCAGGAAAAAGTTTCAGTTGTCTGGTAGATAGTGCCGTTGTATTCCAGAAAAATGGACCCGTAGCTAAATACAGTTACTCCACTGATAAAATGTGAACAGTGTATAAGCTTTTCAAATCTGAGTTAGGACTCCAACTAAGCAAGCACCTTTGCATCCCTTTTCCTTTGGACCTTCTCACACCTCCCCCCACCTTTTTAGTAAGTTATCGTTCTGACTTTCCTGCAGGACTGTCCTCCAAATCGACCCCTTTTCTCAGGACTATCGTGATTCTAATCCTCTTAGCTTCCGTCCTCCTCTCAGTCCTCCCTCCAAAGGTGACCGCTGAGGCCATCAGACTGAGTTCACTCCCAGCCCAGCTCTGCTTACTCACGCAGCTGCCTCAGCTTCCTAATCTGTCAAACACCAGCTCAGACCGTGTGGGTCAGGAGAGCGCCCCTAAAGTCACGGTTCATTCTGAAGAAGGAATACACATCATTGCAGCAAATGCCAACCTTTGGCCAAATAATCCAGTTTATTCTGGGGCTTCCAGAGATTCTCGCCGGTTACGGTTTTGTCAAGGTATCTGGTCTAAGAAGAAAGTTCATGTAGTCCCCACACTGTTGGCGAGAACCCCATCGGACAATTTGTTAATGAGATAAATATCCTGTGCCGTAGGAGACATACTGCAGGAAAACAAAGCAAGGTGCATGTCTCATGCATCTCTTTGGCAAAGGAGACCAACCATTATTGCAATAAACAGAAATTTTTGTGTCTACACTGTACCAAAAAACCTTCATACAAATTCAAAAAATGCTGAATATAAAATAACACACACACACATATGCACACCCCTTACCAGCCATCAGATTCTGCAAATTTCACCACCTAAATCTTATTTCTCATAGTTACCTCCCTGGTGTAGGCTCACATCTTTCAACGTGACTCACTACGATAGCTTTCTAAGGGTTCCCTCCAAAACTTTCCTCTCCCTCACTCAATTTTTCCTCTAGAGAAATGTGAGAGAGATCTTATGAAGACCACATCTAATTATGCCACTTCCCATCTCTGATGGCTTTCTTTTGCCAGAAAAGCAAGTCTCAACTCCTTAGGTTGGCTTACTGGGTCTTTCATAGTCGAATCCTAACCTCTCCTTCATCCCACTGCCTTCTTTCCCCATGAGTCACCCAGTGCTCAACTCATGTGTCTTCCTGCTGGTCCCTCTGCCTAAAACACTCTTCCCCATCCTGCCTTTCAGTGACCTTCAGTCATCCTACAAGGTCAAGCTCAAAAGTTCCCATTTGGTAACACATGCTCCCTCCTCTATTGATATAATCATAGAATTAAGAAGAGGAGATAGGATGCCTATATAAGAAGTAATTTATTTAAATAATTAATGACTAAATGTTAATCTCACTATCATAATATTTAGAAGAAACAGCCATTTTCTGGCCCCTTCTTAAAGTCCTCACATAATTTTCAACACTTAGGAATAAATGCGGGGTAATTTTGCCTACAGCTAGTTCATAGAAAAGAGGAAAACCAGGTGCTTCCTGAGAAACTTGTGATAATTATACATTTCACTTTTTTCATTTCAGAAACACCCTGGCAAAAGCTCAGAGTGAAGCGTTTCTCTAATGGCATGCATTTATTATAATCATGGCATTTATTATAATCATGGCAAAACTTAGAAATGTCTCCTCAGGAAGCTCGGAGCCCCTTCAATTTGCAACAAGACCTACCAGCAACCAAAGCTTTATTCTACCAATTTCATGTCTTTCTCTATGCAGTACTACTTCAAAGTAGCTTTCTCATGTTGGCACATAGGTATAAAAAGGGATATGGCGTTCCAGAACTGGGGAAGCAATGCAGTTGAGTAAAAAGAATGACTCGATAGGCAACTGGGATTCTAACTCGGATGAATTTTACGGCTATCTCCTGAACCAGCATTGGCCCAGGAATAGTAGATGAGGTAGATGAAGCATTTTAAAAACATTTAAAAAAGGAAATCTGTATGTCATTTCAGGCTTTGCTATTGTTATAACAAGAAGAGGAAACGGCAGACCTGGGTTTACATTAAGTAAACTGTAGTTTCCTCTGTACATGCTGTGTGCTCTAACTGAGTTTTCATGAGTAAGAACAGATGACGGCTATTGAAAAGAAAACAAGGGCAGGAAAAAGAAAAATGCTGCACCCACCACATAGACACTGTGAACTCAACGTGCAAGTACAGGGATTGATATACTGAATGCTTAAAACTTAAAAGAGTAATATAACCTACCAAATGGTTTTTATTACTAATAAACTATTACAAAAAGTATAAGCATCTAGTATCAAATAATCCATTTAGTGGAGCACCCAATGAATATCAGCCTTGAATATGGAAGCAACTGGATAACCACACCTGGATAAAGAAGATGTGGTACCTGTATATAATGGAATATTACCTGGTCATAAAAAATAATGAAATCTTACCATTTGCAACAGCATGGATGGACCTAGAGGGTATTACGCTAAATGAAATAAGTCAGACAGAGAAAGACAAGTGCCATATGATTTCACTTATATGTGGAATCTAAAGGTTACTATAAACAAACAAACAGAACAGTAACAGATTCAGAGATACAGAGAACAGACAGATGGTTACCAGAGGGGAAGGGAATTGGGGGTCGAGGTGAAAAAGGTGAAGGGATTAAACAGTACAAATTGGAAGTTACAAAATAGTCATGGGGACATAAAGTACAGCTTAGGGAATATAGTGAATAATATTGTGATAACTATGTATGGTGCCAGGTGGGTACTGGAAATATTGGGGAGAATGCTTTGTAAAGTATACGATTGTCTAAGTGTGTATATTAGTTTCACACCTGAATCTAATATAAAATAGTCTTGGATTTCAACTGTGATTGAAAAATTAAAAATAAAAACATTTAAAGAAAAATAGCATTGAGAGCTGATTAGTTCAACTGGTGTCATCCTATAGGAAGGAGAGTGCGGAATGCCTCCCTTTACATTCACCACCAAGGAGAAAAGCTCCTCACCTTTCCTCACTGTCAGCTTCAGTAGGAAAAGCCTACAGAGAAAAGGCCTTAATTCCCATGTTTATTTAGACACCATCTTTCCTCCCAGAAGCACCAACACTTCAGCTGTTAGTGCATCCCTGTTATGACATCATGCGAGAAGTAAAAAAAACAAACAAACCCCCAAAAAACCTTTGTGTTCTATTTTACAATCTTAAAATGAATGTTTGAAGATGACAGAGTAGATAACATAAGCAGTGTTACAAATCTCCTACCACTAAATTTCTGTCTCAAGTTAAAAGTTTTTACCATTATTGGCACCAAGTTCATATTCCTATTATGACATATTCAGAGGGCATTATGTTCTCAATAGCTCTAACTCTAGTATTCTGAATTGAACTAAATATAAGTCAAACACAACACAGGTACCTTTTAAATAAGCATAAAGTTGTATGTGGCCTTAGGCTGATGATTTCTAATCTTGGTGAAGTGGTACTCTACTGTTTGTTTGATTTTAAAAGATCTTGCCCTATGCTCAGGTAATCACTGTTCCACTGAATTGAATATGCAATGCATTATAAAATATATCACTCATTTTAAGGGCCAGTTGGAAAGAAAAATGTCACACCTAAACTATAACATGCTTTTATGTCATCATTCATTAAGACTCATCCTGATTTCAGAGATGCTAAAAGGTGGGAGAGATGTGTATCTTGAAATCAATGAAGTAAGGGAGATGAAAACTGTTGCTCTTCTAATTAAAATTTATCAAGAGGAATACTGTTTTTGAGAAATTTAAGCCATGGGCTGGGATATTCAAATATGCTAAGGACATAGAAGGGGTTAGGAGTCAGTCTGATGTTGTCAACCTTCAGGGTGCTTTTAACAATGTAAACAAGTCCCTAAACTTTTCAATGGTGCCTAGCAAAGTGAAGGCTCCTGAGATCTCCATTTGTCAAATCAAACAGTCACCCCTGAAATAGTTCTGTTATGAGGCTCAGAAACTGCGAAGTTATCTGTCCCTTGTGACACCAGTTGCTATGATCTGAAGTGACACTGTGAGAGGTGTGGTTACTGCACTAACTAACCAGCCTGCTATGCCGGAACATGCTCCTCTCCTGCTCAGTGAAAGCCTGGCATTGGTATTGACGGCCTTGGAGCAGAAAAGGCATGAAGCGCTTTTTCCCACTTGGAAAGGGTGGAAAATAAAATTCCAAGGAAAAACTAAAGTCAGAGAAAGACATGTGTATAAGCACTGAGGAATTTTCCCTTCATGAGCAACCCTGGCTAGCTCAGCACCGAGAGTGAAGTCTTACAAACAACAGCGAAAGTCAACAGACAACAATGTGCAGCAGAAGAAAGTGGCTCCATTGTCTCCCGGCCATGACGGCAGTGGTCTCGGTTCTGAGGCTCAATCTGAATGACTGCTTTCAGGGGAGCCGGGCACAGCGGCCCTTCCCTCCAGTTTCACTATGTGCGGACAATATAGCTCTTGTTGGAACACAAACATTCGTAAGACCCTGGGAAAACTCCCTTCTCACTCTCCCGCTGGGTGAGAGCCTCTACAATCGGTTCTTCTCATCTTGTCTATTTCTAGGGACTTAGGATACATTTGTTTGGTAACTAGAACCACCCTTGTCCTAAACATAAAAGGTACATGTTCTTTCAAAATTCATATTCCACAAACTTTCTGATGGGATGAAATTCCCAAAGTGAAACTTGAAAGCCATCCGATCTGGACTATATGTAGACATGCGATCATAGCTGCTTACATGTGTTCTTACATTTCTACACGATTTACTTCTGAGAAGAGTTCTCTTATAAACCCAGTGTCATACACCACTGGCCCGGAGCTGTCATTTTTACTAAGGAGGATGCCTTTGGGGGTGGGGTAGGGGGTGGGGAAAGGGGAACATAAAAAGCCAAACCTTAAGAAATTTAAAATAAAAAGTTCTTTCCTTCAAGCATACAACCAGGCAGAAACACTTTCCACCCTTTCAAACCTGCACCCCCAAGAGGAAAAGGGCTTACGTGTTCAGATTTGTCCTGTTCCTTTTTGTCCGTCTGCAAAAACTGACAGTTCTCCCTCGCCAGCTTCTGGACCAGCTCGATGCGCCCGATGTCCTCTCTCTCCTGAAGCTTGCACATCACCCCCGCCTTCAGAGTCGGAGAAAAGGCAAAGATGTACTTAAACCCGCAGTCCCAGGACATGACACCGCCTCAGAGTTCTCCCTAATGCACGCTCATCTCCTCTGTCGCCCGGATCCAGTCATGGTCTTGGTCAAAGAGCCGGCCTTTCCCAGATTGAAATTGTATGATTTTAGTCTAGGAACGCCACTCCAAAAGTCTCACGGTGGAGAGCATGGATCGGTCTACTTGAAGAGAGCGAGGGCAGAGCAAACTAAATCATTTGCTACTAACGTGTGCTCCTGATATGCCGCTATTTGTTCCTGACAGCCTGTTTCCTGTTACATAAGCAAAGCCTAGCAAGAAGGTTAAAAACTCATGGGAAAGTTAGCCAGGAACCACTCTGGCAAAAAGGGCGAAGTGATACAGAGTTCTAAAAATAACAGGACACAGCCTCCTAATGTTTTAGCTCCACCAGATCATTCCATGTACAAATACACAGTTAACAAGATCACAAGGTTTTTTTAAATTTTTCCCCCCACGACTGGAAAGTTACTATGGGTTATTAGCAGAAGATCCCCAATGTTGCATAAAATACAGTGGAAAAGTTTATTAAAAATAAGCTGGAGCCCTGGCTTGTGTGGGTCAGGGGTTAGAGCGTCAGCCTGCACATGAAGGGTCGTGGGCTCACTTTTTGGTCAAGGGTATGCATCTGGGTTACAGGTTCGATCCTCAGCCCAGGTTGGGGCACGTGCGGGAGGCAATCAATCCATGTGTCTCTCTCATATTGATGTCTCTTTCTCTTTTTCTCTCTCTCTCCCTCACTCCTTCCTATCCTCCCTTCCTCTCTAAAAATCAATGGAAAAATATCCTCAGGTGAGGATTAACAAACAAACAAAAAAATCTGAAATAAAGGGCTTAAAATTTCATCAGGGTTTAGAAATGATTCATAAAACATATTTTTTATTACGCCAAAGTACCTGAGTAATAATAATATGGAGAAGAATCTAGGACTTTGATTAGACAAACAATATGTTTGTTATAACACAGGTTATGAATTGTTGCTGCTCAAATTCTTTACAGAATGCTTCATATTGACATATCAAGACATGATTTAAAAAATAAATCTAAAGTTTTCTTAGCAGGAACAGCCCAAACTGGAATTTTTGTCTTACCCAATACAGGATTTAAATAGACTCAGCAACATAACCATGGTCTTAACACTTAGTGATAAAGGTACCCATTCTGTTGAGTGGCATCAGAGAAATGAGACCACACATGCAAAGCAATGGCTAAATCTTTATTCCCAGGGGCAAGGACATCTACTTAATCTAGCAGGTTCTCTGACAACGAGGAAGGAAACAAAAAAAAGTCCATGAAGCAGCCTGAATAACCAACTCCCAGAGGTCAGCAAGTGGAATTCCTCCACCCAAGTCAGAGATTTATATTTACAACATCCTCACAAGAGGTATTCCAGTTCCTGTCCAAGGTTGGACAGGCATCTGTTTATCTTAGGGCAGCCTGTGCACTGTGGAGAGTCAGAGTTCTTGGAAAGTCCCTTTCACACTGGACAAAACTCTCAAACCTCTGAACTTCAACCCATTTAGGCAACTGAAACTCTGTTTCTTATTCAATATGACAATTTTTCAAATATTTAACTACCCATATTTATGATAGCCTCCTTTTAGCATTATGTATATAATATATATATACATATATACATATACATATATATATGTATATTAATATATATATTATTCATTGCTCCTATTCATTATATATTATACATTATATGTATAATAATATATATATTATTCATTGACTCTTTCTTTCATTCACTCTCACAATAGATTTTATTTGAGCAACAATCATGTGCCAAGATCAACCATAGGTCCCAGGGATATAGTAGTGAACAACAACTACTCAGAGAAATGTCTACAGCAAAATGATGAACATTATTTAAATATTTTGACATTTAAAGGAATAAGTTTCTCTTATCTAGAAAGTTCATTTATGTCGACCATCTGTGATTTCTTCTCTCTCCACCCACGTCATCCTCAGTTGTAAATACTGTCCGGCTAGTGGAGAGAGCAGGCTGGTGACCCTGCACCTCAGGCCCCTCGCCCTGGGTGTCTGTTCAGTAGAATGAGGGGTTAGTCCTCATCCCTCTGCTCCTGGTGGGTAAGAGACTGAAGGGCACGTGTGGGGTTGGGGCAGGCTGGGGTGGTGCACAGGAGAAAGCACCCTGGAGCCATCACATTTGGCCGCGGGAACGAGCCCGTTACCTCTTCTCACCAGCACAGGCTCACCAGCAACTGGGCTAAGTTCCCCGAGGCTCCAATTTGAAGAGAGAATCGTTCCTTCTGTGTGTGGGTCCCTTATAATATCACCAACGAGAAAAGGGTGGGACTGAGTGGAGGATATTTAAGAAACCTTGACTATTTGGGGGTTTCTGTGTAACATGAGTTTTTAAGGAACTCGAAACATTCTTCGTATCATATGCTTAGGATTCTACTAGATACAGACTTTTTCTTTCTTAAGGAAATATTTTTATTAGAACCTGATACTTGGGTACACAAATTATGTATTTTAAACACGAAATGCTGTTACTTTTTTTAAAAAAATGGGTTTCAGATTGACTTATTTCATATTGATAATGAAATCATCTGATGATTTAAAAAGGAATACTGTTGTCTTGATCTTCTGGTTTCCACATCATTCCTAGATGCATTTTCACAAGATAATCAGTTCTAAGCAATCCCTACAGAACACTTATTATCAAAAGAGGCTTCTTCATTCCTGGAGAATATTTAGCCCGGAGAGATGCCTACACGTCCTCTGTCATTCTGTAAGGCGGTTCTCTTTGGAAGTGCCACACTGAACCAGAAGTTTTCTGGAGCTCCCTTTCAGAACTCCATAATTTAGTGATCCAAGTCCAAAAACCTATGAATTTATTAAGATACTTTAGGAATGTTGCTCTGGCAGGAGAAGCAAGATAACTAACAGCTTTCGCTCTAGACGTTCACATGACTACTTGATTTATTGATGTGAAATTAATTATAAACAGTTTACCTAACACTATTAGGCCAGAAAGAAATTAATGTGTAAGCATCAGAAGAGTTATTGAAGAGCCTCACTTCAAGGTCTGCTTTGGAAAAACAAATCTGTGTAGTGTATAATTAAAGCTATTCGTGATTTTCAGTATTTGAGGAGAGAAATGTGTTGAATGTAAATGAAAAGTCTGTTTCCTTTATAAATGGAGTCATAAAAATGTTGGGCTCATTTTTCAAAATGAAACTTGGGCAGGATTTCCTTAGGAAAAGCTACGACGATAAATGAACCACCTTTATGACAAAAGGTGAAAGGGCACAGTTCTATGTCTGCAACATGTTCTACATTATTGTACCTTTAAAAATCACTTAGAAAAAACAACATGCAAAAACTGCCATCCAGGGAAAATCAGGATGGAAGAGTCCGCCTCCCATGAAGCACGTTTACAATTACAGAATGCGATTCCATACAAACCCAGGGTATGCGAACGGATTCTTATCGATTATTACGTAATAGATTCATTTCTTTAAAAATTAAATCTTGAACAGAATTTCATAATAAAATGAATAATTTTTTTTCATAAAAAAACTTTTTGCTCTTCTAAACAAAAGGCAGAAAATCCAAATGACAGAATAAAACACTGATGGGCTGGGATGATATACCACACCACTCAATTGTCTGTACCTATTTCCAACACAGACAATATTAAGAATTCTTTCCAGGAAAATTCAGAAGACAATTAACAATAAGTAACATTATTACTATTATTATTATTATATATTATTAGTAATATATTAGGGAAGTAAGTATTCATTTTCTCAAATTTCTCCACAGAAAGGAAGAAAACTAAGAAAAATTTCTTCCTGATTGGGGTAGAAGAATATCCTCTTTGATAATTGGGAAGGACCAAGGAGCATTCAGAGTGAACCTGCATTTGAGAGAAAGAGTGCTGGCAAGGGCAGGTTCGCAATGCCCAGATCATCCCTAGGACAGGCCTGGACCACCATGCTGGGCATCTCAGGGCCTCAGAAATCATCCAGTGCCTCCCAGGCCCTCACTGTAGAGGTGAGGCAATGCAAGTCCAGGGTGGGTCATTCCACTGGTCCTCTTCTTTTGTGGAATTACTGGTGTTAACACAGGACATTGGGTGGAAAGACCCATCCTATACAAACACTATGTGATACTGCAGCCTGCCGGAGCATGCTGGGAGCAGGGGAGAAGGCAGAAACCATGATTACATGGAATTTATTACTGTGATTTCCTTCAAATATTTTCTTAATGTAATATACTCATATACTGTAATTTTCTCTTCTGATGAAACCATATATATAAAAGTTAATATGCAAAGTGTCCCCTCAGGAGTTCGACCAGTAGTTCAATCACATGCTATGACATGCGCTGACCACCAGGGGACGGCGTGGAATGAAGGAAGGCCTTTGCCAGCAGCCAGGAAAGGGAGGCCCGGCCTGGCCACGCCCAGGCTGTGCTGTTAGGTGAGTCTCCTGGGCCTCTCCGTGGGGTGGTCTGCCCCAGGGGTCCCCTTTCCTGTTCCTCACCACTTTCCTTGCTTTCTCTGGGAAGTGGAGTATGTCTCCCTACCTGTGTCTCCCCCATGAATAAAATTATAAATGTGACTTGTAGAGCCTTTTTATTTTTGGTGAAATGTCTTTTTATGAGAAGAAGTACTTTATTCACATAATGTGACTATTTTTCCAAAACACAAAACCTGCACTCTCTCACCTCTCTCAACACAAAGAAAGGGGCCCTGAGGGGTTGTCCCAGGGTTGGTCCTACCTGAGGATCTGGAACACCGTCAGCTTCCGCCGCAGGCACGTGCTTGTCACTGCTCTCCTCGTCTTGTTCAATTGCTTAAATAAATAAAAAAGAACAATGTTAAGCACATGCAGCATCCTCAGAAAACCGCGTCAGATCATTTTCTAGTAGCAATTGGACAGGGAAAAATTGGTAGGTGGATTCACAACATGTAAGTATCGGTACTATTACTTGGATAGAAAGTTTAACCAGTGGAACTGGGCACTTTTCATATACATCTCATTTATTAAATCAAGGGCAATGGGAAACTTTGATCTCATTCCCCTTTTCACCAAAACCTATCAAGCAAGACATCATCATGCCAGTTTCATCCTTCACCCAACGGGGAGTTGGGGTGTAGATGAAGGCTTCTATGAAATCCATGTGAGAACGTCATTTTAACGTGATTTTTTTTGGCTAAGAGTTTAGTGTTATATAATAAAGGAAGCACAGTATTGTATATTTGGGTTGCTCAATGCACTGTGACCACAAACTTCTGAACCGTGAAGCCTTGAGTCCACCTCGTCTCCCACATTCCCCCAGCACCTCCCTATCCAAGTCCTCATCTCCCTTTCTGTGCTGGTGCAATAACCGCCGACCACAAAGCCCCTGGTTCCAGCCTCTCCCTGATACAATCCAGCGGGGGCATACCTGCTAAAATAACCAGTCTCAAAAAATGTAACAAGTGCCATGCTCTGGCCTGTGTATTGCTTATCTTATTGAGTCCGAACTCTGTTCATCATTGGAGGTCTACCTTGAACTCTCTAACTTCCTCCTAATCTCCAACTTCACCCTGACATTCAACACCAAAACATATGGTACCCAACTCTGATGCAGGCGCAGTGATTTCATTATTTTTCTCCTTATACAGCTTGCTCTTCCATTTTAACCAATATTTGTTGAGCATCTATGATATGCCTGGCACTGGGTTATCCCTGTGAACAAGACAGATACACCACTGACCTCATGAAATATACACACTAGCTGGGGAGATAGCCAATGAACAATAACCACTACTACAACTAATAATAACAACAACAACAATAATTGTAAAAAAAATACAATGGAATTAAAGATCATGATAAATGGGGGAATGGCAGAAAACCAGGTGGGAGAGGTCATCTGGAGAGGAGGCAAGGGGTTGGGATGCTTCTCAGAAGAAGTGATATTTGGGCTGAGACCTGAAGGCTGAAATGGAGCCACCCATGGCAGGCGTGAGTGATGTGACAAGACAGTCCCGGAGAGAGTACAGACCATAGCAAATTCAGATTCTAGCCTGAACATGGGGAAGCACTAAGAAATTTAACATTGGGAATTGCATGATTCAACGTATATTTTTTCGAAAGTTCTTTTTGCCTTCTTTGTGGAGAGTCAGACTTATGAGAGTCAAGACAGGAGGCAGAGAGACCAGTTAGGTGACTGTGCTCTCATCCTGGCTGGGGAGGACATAGGCTCAGACCAGGGAGGGGCAAGGAGCTGAAGAAACATGGAGGATTTGAGTTGTGTTTTTAGACAAAATGGACGCGATTTGCCGATGATTTGATTACGGGGGGTAGGGGGGTGGGAGTGAGGCAGGGAGAAGAAACAATCAAGGATGACTCCTAAGTAGAATGAGTTATTGCTCATATCCATCATACCATTAATTCTTTTTGTCCTCTCCATAAAAAGCAGACCCAAAAAAGCCCACCCAGACCAAAAACATACCAACCCTGCTGCCCGCGAGGTCACCCACTGCACTTCTGGATTGAGTCTTTGCATTATTTTATATACATTTAAATATGATGCTTTCTGCTCTGTATTTCTAAAAATATCACCTCATGTACCTTTTGCTTTTCCCTGGCTCTTATGCCCGCCTAAACATCGTGCACACAGGATGAGTTCTGCCACCACTGCTGGGATGAACAATTCCTCCCCAAGTGACCAAAATGGCATGGCTTGACTACACCTACTTACTAAGTCCTGCCTTTGGTACCTATTCATGAAAAAAGAGGGGAGGGAAATTCTGTTAAACTCCATGGATACCTAGGGTAACTCCCACCAGCTGAGCATCGAAAGGCATGAACAGTGAATGTGGGCAGAAGCTGTTCTGTTTCCAGCAAAAAGTTCCATTCATGCTCATTCAAAGGCCCCCTGTTGCTACTGTGGTCCGATTAGGAGGAAACTTAAGAATAAAGAAAAACACATTTTATCTGCAAAACTGGAGGAGAATACAAAGGAAAATATGAAATATAGAATAACATCCACTTAAAAATGCAATGGGCTGGAGAAGTAAGGAACTCCACCTAGTTCTACCTTGAACTCCACCTAGTTCTACCTTGAATTAATATAAGAATTCTTTCCTCATCCCATAATGGGGGGTAATTTTCTTCGGGGGAGGGGGCAACCTGATACTATACCCATGTGAGACAACTTCATCCACATGAAGTACCAGGAATACCTTGGCACTTAATTTATGCTTCATTTGAATTTTTGTTCCTTCAAGTTTAAGTGTTGATGAAAGTGAAGAAAATCAAATTTTGGATTTTTTGTAACCTATTAAGTTTGTTTTTAAAACAACAATGCTCTGGGGTAGAGTCATTTCTTTTTCTTACCTTATTATACTAAGAAACTAGTGACCCAGTGAGCAAAACTGCGCGAGTCCTGGGACGGGGCCAGTGCCGTGTGGGACTCCCCCAAGTCCCAGAGTTCCCCGATGCACCTCCTGGTCAAGACCCCGCTGGCACCTGCGGGGACTCAGTGTCAAGTCCCTGCCTATCCGTGTGCGCCTCGCCATGCATGCAGCCTCTTGGTGACTGGTCATTACGGTGTGATGGTGTCATGACCACGGGCTTTTTATAATATAGGATAGGACATGCAGAACAATGATAACAATGTCAGGATTGAGAGTTAACACTATCTTTTGAGTTTTAGGCAAAATTCTTTTTTTTGGGGGGGGCATAAATACTCACCTGAGGATATTTTTTTCATTGATTGTTTTAGAGAGAGTGGAAGGGAGGGAAAGAGGGGGGGAGGGAGAGAGGGAGAGAGAAAGAGAGAGAGAGAGAGAGAGAGAGAGAGAGAGAGAGAGAGAGAGAAAGAGAGAGAGAGAGAGAGAGAGACATGGACTGGTTGCCTCCTGCATGCACTCCAACTGGGGGCAGAAAGGGATGAGTATACCCGCAACCCAGTATGTGATGTGCCCTTGATCAGGAATCGAACTCATAACCCTTTGGTGCCCTGGCCAACGCTCTAACCACTGAACACACCAGCCAGGGCTAGGCAAAATTCTCAATACACATAAAGAGAATCAAGGGGAAAGAGGTTAGCACAAAAGCATACTTGGGAGGAAAACCCAGTCCTATAGCTCTAGCTTCTCCCCAACAAGTGCTGCATGTTTTTGGTCACATCTTTGAAGACCTCAGTATTTGTTGCCCGGCATTACACTTTGGTTAACAGAGCAAAAATCAGACACACAAGCAAGTTAAGGGACTTGGCAAAGGAAACTCAGCCATGGATCTCAATCAACATCATGAGGGACTCTCCAAGGGCTGGTGGACTCTCACCACAGCGCCCTCCTCATGAAGAGAAGACCTCAGTCTCTTCCAACACAGAGACATCGTTTTCTGGGAAATACTGAAAAATTATGACTCCAAAAATGTATTTTAGCCAGTGGTTCATATATACTAGTTGAGAACAAAAACTTAATTTATAGTGGCCTTTTTAAGGATTTACGATTTCCCCCACGAAGTCTCACGTGTGAAATACATAGTCAGCTAAAAGGGAGTGCTCTGTGACCCTTTAGTACGAAGATTAATGTCAAGGAATCACTAAGGAGGCAGCTTCTCTCTCCGTGTCTCCTACTGGTGCGGCTCATGTGGTAGGAGGGGGAGGAAGCAGCTATTTAGATTTCTGAGCTGAGTTTTCTTCTTTTATCTGATCAGAATAAGAGTGGGCTGGGAGAGATTTCCTCTGCAAATATTGATTCTGGGACAGTTCCCTCCAGGGGAACACGTACACGGGAATGACAGCTCCTGGGACCTGGGAGGCTCGAAGCCTAACTCTGCCAACACAAATCATTTCCTTATCTCTCAACACACAGAGTCTAAAAGCAAGAAAAGGCCTTTGAAAATAACTCACCACAACAAAAGTCATGAGCATAAGATCAAAAAGCACATATTTTGAGCAGTGAACGTGAGAACCTACATGAGAACTAAGAGTGTATGTGGATTAATTAGCTCTAATTCACAGAAGAGCACTTAGTTTAAATGTGCCTATTGGTAACTCAGCCTCAAGCAGGGCAGGGGGCGGGACAGTTGACAGCCTCCAAGAACCGAAGGGCTCACCCGATAGCACTTTCTTGTTGCCTTGAGGACAACAGGTATTTTCTCCCTTCCACTTCTGAGCGATTGCTAAGAAAGCTCTCCTAATAACCCCACTAATGATATCATTCAAACGCAAAGGGGATCAATGTCCTTTCAAAGTGATGCTTATTGAATTTCTGCCGATCAACTTTGTACAAGTAAGAGCCACACGAACAATGAGACACACAATGATTACAAATCACTGGGGGGACTACAGTTGTTAACAACCGAAATTATTATTTTCAAAATCAAACGAAACTATTATTTTTCTAAATTTACAAACCAAAAATTTCTGGACAGGCAGTTAGCATTTCGCGTCTCAATGTGAGAAATCAGCAAACATAGTTAAGGAAAATAACTGTTGAGTATTTTGCCAAGAATTAAAGTTTCGTCAATACGACAATCTTTCGCCTGTGCAGCATTTACAGGGAGAAAGCTCTTTCATACGGGGTCTCATCTGATGTTCCCACACCCTCACAGTCGGGCAGGTAACACCCCCAGTCTACAGATGAGCTTCTGTAGCCTGTCCCCGTCCTCCACATAAAATGTGTGTATCTGTGGCAGTCAAGTCTGTGTGGTCCAGGACAGAGCAGAATAGTGCTGGTCAAACTGCACATCCATTGGTGTGGACCTGCGTTTCTTTTTTCTTTGGTTAATCCTCACCCAAGGATATTTCTCCAGTGATTTTTAGAGAGAGTAGAAAGGAAGGGAGAGAC